AGTAATGATGATAAGATAGATAGATTAAGCTCTCAAACATTTTTGATTCAAAGAAAAGAAAGGAGATATCTCTCTTTAGTTGTCTCTTACACAAAAGTGGCTAAAAACCTAAAGGAAAATGAGATGTTCTTTGGAAAAAAACCCTAAAAGCTATTTATACTAAGTGTTTTGGAGCGGGTCAGCTCAAGACAAACTGTGTACTGACCTGGTTCAGTTGGGTCATGTGGCCATGGTGCGAGATGGTCCTGGCTTCAGTTCACCTACACTGCCATCTCGCAGCCCCAAGTGAATGTTGTTACGTCTCAGCTCCCTTGCTTCTTCAGCCGCACTTTCATGTCGTATCATTCAAGCAATTGTACTTGCAGCTTAAATCCTTCTTTTCCCACTCACAGCTTCACGTTCGCAGCCCCAAGAGAGTAGGAGTGCGACATGTTACTTCTCTTCATCCATCTCGCACTGTCATGTCGCGGCCCCAAGCGAGTGTGTGTGCGACATGGTTCATCTCATCATCAATCTCGCACTGCCATGTCATAGGCTGTTCTGGACTTAGAAATATTTGAGCTTTGGAAATCCTTACCCTGCTCCGAGTCACCTCACCCGCATCATTTCAAGTCTCAGCTTGCTCCCAGAATTTAAACATTCATCGCTGCAAGTTGACCGAGTCGCAAAGCCATGTCGCAGCATTTCTCATTTCCTCGGATCTATGTTTACTTGAGCTAGCATAACTTGTGGGATATGAGTCTAAATGACTCGAGAGAAACTCCAGAGGAAAGGCAGCTCAATTCCATACAACTTTGATGAAGAACTTAAGTGCATCCCGGGTGAGAGAGGCCTTCCGGTAAACGGATCATTGCATTGGCTCGGGAGGTTCTAGTTTCTTACTGCAGGGCATGTCTGTCTCCCGAATGCGATATCTCCCAACTCAACACTCCAAATGGAATGATTCTAAGCGTTATGGAAATATGACTCGAATCTCTCAAATCTTGATAGAGCCCCGGAAACTAGATTGGAAGGGAAGAGTTTCATCCTGAGTGATCTTTGAGTCGCATCGGATATGACCAGAATGGATGCGAGGCAGATTCATCTTCTGTTGGCCGTATCTTTCAGCTCACTGCTCCAAATCCATTGATTCCAACTGTTCTGGAATTGTGACTCAATTCTCTTGAACGTTTGTGAAAACACTAGAAACTGAATCGGACGAGAAAGCTTTCTGGTAAAGGCATCTTTGAAGCATATCGGGTCGGGAAACTTTTGGCCGATAATTCACGTTTTGGCCGATAAGTTACGTACTGCGGTACGTATTTTAGCCGATAAACATTTTTTCCCACGACAAAGGATTTTTGCCGATACAGACTTGGTCTGGTACATGTTTTGGCCGATAACTGCTTCCCGGGAATGATTTTTGGCCGATAAAAATCTTCCCGCAGTAAGCAATTTTGCCGATAACCTCCAAAACCTCATTTTTACCATATCTTGCCCTTCTTTCACCATTTCTTCACCTGGTTCCATATTTTCATCTCCAGATGACCTCCAAAGCACCTGATTGACACTCCAAACATGCAAGACTCACTTGGACCTAATGCAAAGTCCTAAACCTCTAAAACAAAGAAAACATGAAGAATCTATCTAAAATGTATGCATGAGGCTCTATTCTTGGACCAAAAATGCATCCTAAACACGAAATGATATGAATATATCACAATCCCATTCAAGACCAAAGATCTTGGCCAAGCTCATTTCTTCTTGAGTCTTGAGATTGCAAGGAATGCTTCGGGGTTATCTGTTTCACAGAGGAAATACTGCTTGGATCTTATTGAAGATTATGGTCTCCTTGGTTATAAACCAAAATCAGTTTTGATGGATCCAGTCCGCGGGTACGTCTCTTTCTGATACAACTTCATATCGCGAATTGATTGGTCGATTGCAATATCTCTGCATTACTCGTCCTGATATCACTTTTGCGCTGCATCAGTGGAGTCAGTATCTGTCTTTCCCCACTAATGTTCATTTTCAAGCTGCTTTCCAGATCCTTAAATATTTGAAGAAAATCTGGGCTAAGGTTTTTTCTATTATGCTACTACAGAGTTATGCTTGAATGGATTTTCAGATGCAGTCGTTCTGTAACGAGTCTGTGTGTATTTCTTGGAACATCTCTTATCACCTAGAAGTCCAAGAAACAGGAAATGGTTAATAGAAGCAGCACGGAGGCCAAATATCGGAGCATGGCTGTTACTACGGGAGAGTTACTTTGGCTGCACCAATTACTGACTGATCTTCATATCCCGGTAACTTCTGAAGCCAACCTGTTTTGTGATAAAAAAAATCAGCTATGAATCTTGCCAATAACCCTGTATTTCACGAGAGAACTAAGCATGTGGAAATTGATTCCCACATAACCCGAGATCAGGTGAAGAATGGCTTCCTAAATGTTCTTCATGTCTCTACTTCGAATCAGCTTGCTGATATGTTGACGAAGCCTTTGCATCTAGGTCCATTTCATTTTTTGCTTAGTCGTGTATTATTATCAAACCTCTTTCTACCTAAGGTTGATTCGGTTTGAGAGGGATGTATTAACATATATGTATTTATTCTTAACCTAGTTGGTATATAAAAGGGAATTAATGTAATACGGTTCACTAACACTTTCATTAATACAATTTACACTTTCCCTCTCTTGAGTGTTAATATATTTAGTGTGCGTAAGCAAATAGAAACCATCAACAAGTCGGATATCTGGGATTAAGTTTTAATCTATTATTTTGAAACGGTATTGTAGCCATCTCCCATTTTTAAAACTAGCTGTCATATTCTAAAAAAGTTCCAGTTTTCATTTTCTGCTACGTTTTACTCTTTAAAATTAAAATAGTTTTGTATGAGAAATAAACGATAACTATGTAAATCTTTTTCACTCGCATGGAATTGATCATATTTTTATAATAATTATGAAGTTCATATCAATTAGACTTTAATTAAATTACATCTCTACATTATTATTTGAATAGACATTTTATAAAGAAACTTTTATTTGTAAGATATTACAGAATATTTTACATAAATAAATATTTATTTATAAAATATTACATAAATAAACCTTTACTTAAAAGATATTAAATAAATAAATTTTACAAATATAAAATTTTTAATTAAATATTTCTTCACAAGAGATAGTTAAATATATAGCTCACATATTTGTTTTGAATATATATGGATATAAATAAAAAATGTATTTTGCTTTTTACTTATTAAAATGTTAAAATATATTCTATTATTTTAAATAATAATCAATCCATATATATGAAAAACTATTTAAATTTTGCAATATTTTTCATTTGTATTTTCATAATTAATTAGCATCATTTTTGAAAATCAATTCAATTATTATTATAAAAAATAAAATATAATTTAAAGTTTAAAATCTATTTTTTGCGGATTGGTCGAAATAATATTTTAAAAATTATAAAATAAATTAAATAGACGAATTTGTCTAATCCTATATATAATTATTATTAACATATATTATAATTTATTAACTAAAAATAATAGTTTAATCTCTAATAAAATATTCAAAATTAAATTCTTATTTTATGAATAATTAAACTGCATAACAAAATTAGCTCAAAGTCATACTCTATAATATATATATATATACAAATAAATATCGGTTGTGTGATATTTATATATATATATTATTTAATTTTTATTAATTTTGTTTATTTATATTTTTTGTTAAAATATTTTTGCCACCAATTTTAATTTAACTAAAAAAAATTAAATTAAATTTAAAAATAATTAAAAAAACATTATCCCTTACAATGTGCGGATTAACTTCTATTTTATTATAATTAGGACGGCAGCTACATTCTGTACACTTAATAATGCTCATCTTCTCAACACGTATATCTCAAGCTCCTTTACACTTAGGTCACTGGAATGATTTTTATTTTTTTTTATCGATGTAGGCCTGAATAAATTATAGCCAAGCAAAATTTCACCCTTTAAAGGTAAGTTCTTAGTAATTACTTCGTATTAATTCTTTATCCGTCTGCTTAAAAACCTGTCGGCTGAGATTTTCAAAGAAGATCCTTAAAGAGTTAAAGTACAAATAGTGGACTAATTTTGTGTCCAAATTATAGTAATAATAATGTAACAATAATACCAGTTATGGCCAATAATGTAATTCTTACATATCAATAGTTCAATACTTGTCCGATGGTTCCTATGTTTAAAGACGTTGATAAGAAATATCTAAAAGACTATTGAGGTTAAAGTTTTTCACAAATCACAATCCAACAACCCACCATATGGGAATCGACGCAACGGATACAGATATACTTTGATCATACTTATCGATCGTCTTACCATCTTATTTGTAGGATAGATGAAGTAAATTCGAAAATATGAAAATTTCGTTATCTTCTTACCACGTTTGGATTTGTATCTTTATTTATCTGTTTGATATATAAGTATTAAAGTTCGTTTGGTTTTAATGTTTCGTTTTGTTTTTCATATGATTTTGATGTTTTATATATAATATATGTTTCCGAAAGCAAACGTTTCCTATCATTTTTAAAATTGTTATCCTTTTCGAAACACTTTGTTTCACGTATTTTTTGTTTCATGCAATCTAATATAAATCACGTAACATATATTAACTCTATTCAAGATGTTTACAAAGAAAGATTGCATGATACAGATAAAGATATCTAAACTATATTTTTTGGGGGGTATAAATTAGATCTAAACTCTTCTAGAATAATACAACTCCCTTTTGTTCGCTTGCGCAAAGAAATATAGTTTTATTTATTTGCTACTAAAAAGTGTGTCTTTATCTGCAAACAATGCAATTTCTCTAAATTTTGTGATACACTAAATCTCCCTTTTGCTTTTAATTAAAAAAATACTTCTTTTCACTGCACTACGAATTATTTATTTGACTTTTCCTCATTCTGCCCTCCTCGTTTTCCTTAAATAGAGAGCATGCAGGCTAACATTTTATTCATCACTTCTTTCTCCATATATACAAATTAAAAGTGTTATAAGCAGTTTGAAGAAAATGGCTTCCAAGACTTTGCTTCTGTTGGGTGTGTTTGCATTTCTTCTCGTCGTCTCAGCAAGGCAGTCGGGTACGTAAAATTATTTTATAGAAAACAAAAAAATTATCGTGAAGCTAATCTAACCGGACTAACGTACCATTTGATAATTTTGTCCAACTATCTCGTCCGTTTTAAATGCGAAAAGTTGGGGTGAACGATGGTCAATTATTTGGACTCACTAAGTCATAAACACACTTAAGTATCATGTTGATGTCCTAGTAAGAAAAGACACTTACGCTTACTTATGACGTTTAGTCCTTCTTAGAGCATCTACATCAGAGGATCAAGAGGGGTTCATGGCACGGTTTTTGAGACAAAAGATCTTAATATTAAAGAGACAGTATCATCCCGACGAACCTGAAGAGACGGTATCATCCCAAATAAAACATGGTCGAAAATTATAATTTTCGAATTAAAAAAAAAAAAAACTAAAACAAAAAAAAAATGTTATTATATTCTGTTAAACCCCTCTTTTAAGGGTTCACTGATGTACATGCTCTTATACCTATTAGACCCTCCCAAACTATTTAGATGCTTGACGCCAATTTATATAAAACGTATATTTAATGTTGAACTCATTTTTTTTATAACTAGAGATCGGAATTATATACATATTTTAGAAAGTTTTTAAGAGAAATTTAATTATGAAATTGGGGAGAGGAATGCACATTTGTACGTACTAACAATATTTATAAAATAATGTGGTTTCGCTTTTGGGATAGGCACGGTGAACTCAGAGAGTGAGGAAACTGTGAAACCTGATGGATATGGTGGTGGCCACGGAGGAGGACACTACGGAGGAGGAGGCCACGGGGGACATGGAGGCCGCGGGGGACATGGACTAGAAGCTGTTCAGAGTAATTCTGTCACTACAACTACATCATTATCCCGAATTTCTATACATTTTTTAAAAGTGTTCAATTATGAAATAGGCAAAGGAATGCACATTTGCACGTGCTTAAAAATATTTTTGAAATAATTTTGTTTTTTTTTTGTGTGTGTTTGGAACAGGCACGGTGAAGTCAGAGAGTGAGGAAAATGAGAAACCTGATGGATATGGTGGTGGCCATGGAGGTTACAACGGAGGAGGAGGACACGGAGGAGGACACGGTGGAGGACACTACGGAGGAGGAGGAGGAGGACACTACGGAGGAGGAGGAGGAGGACACTACGGAGGAGGAGGAGGACACTACGGAGGAGGAGGACACTATGGAGGAGGAGGCCATGGTGGACGCGGGGGACACGGAGCAGAAGCTGTTCAGACTCAGCCCGGTCATTAAAATCTATGAAATATACTTTTAAGTCTCATATATGCACATACGTGTGTATGACTCTAAGTAAACATTGGTGCATTTGTAATGAAGTGACTCAAGTTTAAGAAAAGAAACTATGAGAATAAACTTAATAATGTATGTCTCTGTGTTCGAGTTGTAATCTTCACTCTTTGCATAATAAAATCGTCTGTACTTTATGTTATTGTCTTTGGTTTTTTTATATTACTGCAATTTAATTATTCGTACTCTAGGGTCTTACAAAAAAGAAAAAATATTTAAACTAAATATTCACAAATTGCAAAGTTCACGATGAGAAATTTTGTTTTCTTAATAGTACAACGAGAACCTAAAGAAACTCTACTGAGGTTATTCATACACAATACTTGCAAAGTTCACTAAATATATCAAAGTACCATAAAGAAAGAATTCTCAACAAACTTATAATTATCTAACCATTTTCATTTGACGAATTGAAATGGTGCCATTTTTTAGACCCATTAGAAAATATTGTGAATGAAAATATGAAAATATTCCTTCAAAAAGTGGAATTTGAAGGAGATAATCTAACCATTATCCGACTCATCAATGGGCAAGGAAATAATTTGCGTCTCCACCATTACATAGAGGCTATCAAAAGCTGGAAAAAATGTTCGCTGAAGTGAGCTTCACCTTTCGACACCGAGAAGCAAATCAATGGGCAGATATGTTGGCTAAACAAGCATTATTATGTAATACTCAATGGTCATTGTACCACACTTGTCCTCGATTCCTCCAACATACCACTACAAGAAAACATGTTGAATTCCTATAAATTTTTCTACGTAAATTTTGGTAGAAATTTTTTTTTATCATTTTCCTACGAATTTATGACAAAAAATAAAAGTGGTAGGAAATTGGAAGAAAAGTTTCTACGATAAAAATCGTCAGAAAATGGTCAAAATTTTCCTACCAATATTCAACCAAAAAAATATCCGTAGGAAATCTGATCAGAAAATGGAAGGAAATCGGTGGAAAAAATTTACTGTAATAATGGTAGGAAATTTGTCAGAAATTTTTGACCACTTATCTACGAATATAATATGTAAGAAATTACCTATCAATTTCCTACGAAAAATAAATATTTTATTATTTAAATATCCTATCAATTTCCTACCAAAATCAGTCAAAAAGGAAAATGGGAAAAATCCCACATCGACCAAGCAGGTGATGCTGAAAAGACTCTATAAATAGACACATGCTTTAAGTATAAAAAATACTGAGTCAATAAAAATAATTTGGGCTTTAGAAGTTCCATATTTAGTTATAATTAATTTCTAATTAGTTTTTAATTAGGTTGATTAATTTTGGATTTAATTTTTATAATTTGTTTAATAATTGAAATTATTTAATTTTGTAATTAATTGAATTAAAATTTTTTTATATAGCTAGTAAGAAAATGGTAGGAATATGATAGAAAACTGTTCGTAGGAAAAGGGTTGGATTTTTTCAAAAGAAAATGGAAGGAAAATAGTAGCAAATGCCCTACGATATTCTGACCAAATTTTCCGATGAAATTTTCCGACCAAAAATTTCGTAGGAAATTTCCTATCATTTTCTGACCATTTATAATTTCCGACGGCATAGAACTTACCAAAACATTTTCGTCGGAAATTGGTAGAAAATGCCTGTTTCCTACCATTTTCTGATGATATCTTTCGTAGGAATACCTGCTGTTTTCTTGTAGTGTACTGTAATTAACGATTGTAATTTTGATAACTAATAAAGGTGAATTAGATGTAAAAAAAAAAAAATTGTGAATGAATTACTTCACGGCTACACTCGTCCCTTGGGAATTGTTGGATTAGTTGAGTGGTAAATATCGGGATCACTCTTGGTTAAAACATATATATCGTAAAGGTTCTCTCATATGATTTGACACACCAAAAAACTATATATTATTACTGAAATTCCCTAAATTAGGTTTTGACAGTTCAAAAATGGATGTAATTTATATGATAAGCCAAACCTGAATTAGGTTGGGATGGTTTGGTAACGAGACTATTGAAAGATTAGTTTTTATGCGAGTGGGGAAACGTTGTTGACTTGGGAGAAACCTTCGAAAAAGTACCAACTCATCAAGCTAATCGACAACAATATCAGAAATCAACTATATGTTTGATTCAAAGTAATGGAGATAGGAGATATGAGGATGGACTGAGAACATGGTTCTCCTCAAGACAAACTCAAGGAAAGTGTTAGGGTCGGTTTTCACCCAGTCGAGATCAACTACTAAAAACAACTAAGTAAAGAGAATTGGTTTAGCTGAGCCTAGAGGAACTTGTTGTAAACGCAAGAGTTTTAGTTCAAAAACAACATCACAACTTAACATAAAGTTTTTCCTTTAACTGAACTTTATTGCTAGTAAATCTGTTAACACACCTTACAAATTTGTAACACGATTTAGAACAGACTCAAGACACACCTTGATCTGTCGCTCTAGCTCTCTCTGTTCTTCGATCTGTACTTGATCTCAGAACTCCCCTAGAAAAACCTTTAACCCTTGATGCATACCCTAATACTCGAATCTCTCACCCTTATGCTAAGTGCTCTCTAGTAGTTGTGTTAAGCTTATACAATGCTTCAAGTCTACTTATACCTAGTAGACTAAGCTGCTATACACGCCGAAAACCCTACACCACAGCTTCCATTTTTGTCGCTTGGTGCATATTTCCTATTTCTTTAAACTTTTGCATGTTTAAGAAAATCTTCCATTCTTCCTGATCTGCTCCTTTATTCTCATCCAGCTTTGCTTTCTTTCCAATACTCCCATTCCTACTGGTCCAGCTCAGCTACTCGTCCAGCTCATCATTCCAAATGCTTCGCTTGTCACGTACTTCATGCTTGTGGCATTCCATCCTTCACTTCATCTGGTACAGCAACTGCTTCAAGTACAGCTACACCTTCAATCTCCCCCATTTTAGCTTCGTGTGACTCAGAAGCACCTGTTTTCAGACATAGCACACAAACAACCACAGACCAACCAAGTACCAAGACAAACAGAACGCATTTCATATGAAAAGAAAACGTCAAACACAGAGTCTTGAATCAAATGCTGCGAACAAGAGTTTTCAGAGCAAAATACACGTTCCCCCACAAACTTAGCCTAATTCAGAAACAAGAAACTAGATTATTACACAAACTCCCCCACAATTTAAGCACCCGCATCATCTCCTGCATCATCTCGTAGAATTTCTTCCCACATGTTTTCTCCTCCTGCTTGTGATCACCGAAAGTAAAAACAGGGATCAATACCTAAAATAAGAAACAAGTCAGAGTCAGAAAACTTACTTGCAAATGAGTCAATCACCATGTTGACTATTCCGTGGAGATGGTTAAGCACACGACTCACATCCCATAAGGCCAATGTGACTTCATTAGCACTTTCTGGTGCCAAAGGAACACAAATCACTCCGAGAGGAGCACTTTGAGTCCGACCAGGAGCAGAGTCGGATGACCTGAAGGATGCATCAGGAGGTGGTGAGCGGAAGGACCGAAGTGGCACACTCGGTGATGGCTCAGGTTGCTGTTGAGACGACTGAGGTGGAGGAGTTGGAGATCTCGGTGCATCAGCCCTTTGCTTCCCTTTCTTCTTATCCTTCTTTGCAGCTGCGGCCTCTTTCTTGATGAACTCCTCACCACTGCGTGAGTCTTTTTTGTATCAAAATGGGACAATGTGAGTCTCTCCTTGACCCAGCTAAGGCTCGTGTTGAAGGTTCATAATCTTCTGTATCAAACACGGGAATACCAGCCAGTGAGTGTCTTTTTTGATGATCTTGCTCATTAGAATAATATGTTTGAAAGCCAGCCTTCCGAAGTCCACCCTCACACCATGACTCAGCTTGTACAGCAGGCGAGCACGCTCCTCAGAAATGTGATTCTTGTTGGTTGAGTGAATCCAGTTGTACGCCGCAATAACAATCAATGAAGCAAAAACCGGTGGGAGATTCCTCGTGCTCAGCCCACTCCAACCACTTCCTCCTTTCGACAAGTGTTTGGCAATATCAGACAGAGAGACTGCTTCAGCAACTGACTCATCGTGAACTTCAGCCTCGCTAAGTGGAGTCAGATTGAGGACCCGATTGATCCACGCAGGAGAGAAGCAATACTCAAAACCCCTCAGCTTGACACGAATCTCTTGATCTGGATCAGAGGGTAGCTCACCCGGAAGCCCAGCATAGAACTCCTGAATCACTTGCGGTACATACAAAGTGATCCCTACAACCGCTGATTCTAAACCGCTGTCTCTATTCACTTTGATGTATCCCCATTCATCTGTTTCACCTACATCGACAGTTCTCTCACACCAAAGTTGTCGTGTAGCAAAGTGATCATACCTTGCTTGATCAGGAGACGGCTGTTCTTTGCGAGATCGAGCCTTTTTGGTCCGCTTTCATGGCACCGAGTCAGGGACTGGCTCCGGTTCTGCTTTTGGAACTGGAGACGGCTCACTTTTGGGTTTCTTTGACGGAGCTGGAAGTCCCAAAGCCTTCATTGTATTTCTTTTGCGTTCGACTTTTGCAGCTTGCTCTTTCACGGAGATCGAGGTAGGTGATGCTTCAGCGGGAGATGCTGTCGCCTCCTCTTGAGTCATTGTGATCAGAACCGGATCGGCGGTCGGATTCGCCGATTCTTGTGGCACAGAGAGATTCACCTCAACAGCTTTTTTGCTCTCGCCACCGTCAGCCTCTTCCTCGTCATTCTTGATTTTCTGGGTAACCTCCGAGTTGGCCTTGGTTTCTCCGCCATCCGCCTTCTCTTTAGGGTTCGCCGACGATCCACTCTGCGCATCTCCATCATTTGCGGTGGCAAAAGAGCCTGCACTATCTGCTGGACCAATGGATGCCGCGGGATTTTGATCAGGAACCGCCTCAGTTGGATTCATACTCTCGCCACTGTGCTCATCGATTAGATGAGGCCTCTGAGCATCGCCATCTGCATGCGTCATCTGTGCTTTAGATCGGACACCAATTAGCCCCCTTCGAGTTCCTCTCACCATTGATGTCTCTCTTTGTGATTCGCCTTTTGTAGGAAGATAATTAGGGTTTAAAACAGGAAGTGGTGCTGATTTTTCGGATCCCCACTCCCCGTAAATAACTCCCCCACTTTCTATTTTCCCACGTCTTTTCAATTTCCATTGTCTTTTGTGGGCTGTTCTCTCGCAAC